GCAGGCTCAGGACTAAAACGTTCGGGGATCCTAACAGAGGACGCAGGTCAGCCTATATGCTGTTTGAGGCTGGAAATTGAGGCAGGAAGTCGCTTTCAGACAAAGACAATCAGGTTTTACAACATTCAGCTTCCAGGTCATTTGACTCTATAACCTTGCAGTTGAGGTAAGGGGTAAAAATGTGAAGAGAGGCGATCCAGAGAGATCAAAAGAACAGGAAATGCAGAAATCTGCTGGTTGCAGACCTAAAAATGTGCTCTGGTGCACTTATCTATGTAAAGAGGGGGGTTCCCAGTCTGCTTTACTTTTACTTAACTACCACTAATATGCTTATTATCTAAACTATATTCTACTCTATTTCATTATAGTTTCCTTCCACATTTTCCCCCTTTAAAAGGTTCCTTTTAAAATCTGGACGCTATTATCAGAAAGCGTTTACATCCTTCTTTATACACAGAATGTAGATTCCAAGTCTCCTCACAGGCAACTTGCTGGCTTGGGAATTACTTTGCCTCTGTATTTGCTCCTACTGCTGCTCGTGTAATTCATGGGAGCAGAAAGGCTTTAGCCTTTCCTGGCCTCCCTGCAACTGTGCCTGTCTTAAGTTGCTCTCATCTTTCAGAGTCTTACACATCATTGGCTAACAAGTCCGTGGGAGTTACCTTGCCTGTGTATCTGCTCCTAGAACTGCTCATTTCCTTCACAGGAGCAGACTGCCTTTTGCTATGACTTTAGCCTCTGCTGGCCTCCCCACGGCTGTGCCAGTCTTAGGTTCTGCTCATCTTTCAGAGACTCTTACCAGTCATTGGCTAACCAGCCATCAACCCGGGGGGCACACAGGCAACTTATTCCCTTGCCTGTCAATTATGCTGCTGGTGCATCTGCTCCTAAAATCAATTTAGCCTTTGCTGGCCTCCTCGTGGCTGTGCCTATCTTAGGTTGCTCTCATCTTTGAGGGCCTTACCCATCACTGGCTAACCAGCCATCCACCTGGGGACAAACAGGCAACTTACTTGCTTGCCTGTTGATTACGCTGCTGGTGCATCTGCTCCTAGTGCTGCTCGCTTCCTTCATGGGAGCAGACTGGCTTTTGCTATGACTTTAGCATTTGCTGGCTTCCCCGTGGCTGTGCCTGTCTTAGGTTGCTCTCATCTTTCAGAGTCTTACCCGTCATTGGCTAATCAGCCATCCAATGGGGTGGAACACAGGCAACTTGCTTCCCTGTCAATTACACTGCTGGTGTATCTACTCCTAGTGCTGCTCGTTTCCTTCATGGGAGAAGACTGGCTTTTAGAATGAATTTAGCCTTTGCTGGACTCCCTGCGGCTATGCCTGTCTAAGGTTTCTCTCATCTTTCAGAGAGCCTTACCCATCATTAGCTAACCAGGCATCCACCTGCGGGGAACACAAGCAACTTGCTTGACTGTCAATTACACTGCTGGTATATCAGTTCCTAGTGCTGCTCATTTTCTTCATGGGAGCAGTCTGGCTTTTAGTATGAATTTAGCCTTTGCTGGCTTTCCCGTGGCTATGCCTGTCTTACATTGCTCTCATCTTTCAGAGAGCCTTACCTGTCACTGGCTAACCAGCCATCCACCTGGGGGACACATAGGCAACTTACTTGCTTGCCTGTTGATTACGCTTCTGGTGCATCTGCTCCTAGTGCTGCTTGCTTCCTTCGTGGGAGCAGACTAACTTTTGCCATGACATAAACCTTTGCTGGACTCCCTGTGGCTGTGCCTGTCTTAGGTTGCTCTCATCTTTCAGAGTCTTACCCGTCATTGGCTATCCAGCCATCCACCTGGGGGACACACAGGAAACTTACTTGCTTGCCTGTCAATTATGCTCCTCGTGCATGTGCTGCTCGCTCCCTTCATGGGAGTAGACTGGCTTTTGCTATGACTTTAGCCTTTTCTGGCCTCCCCGTGGCTGTGCCTGTCTTAGGTTGCTCTCATCTTTCAGAGAGTCTTACCCATCACTGACTAACCAGCCATCCACCTGGGGGGCACACAGGCAACTTATTCACTTGCCCATCAATTACGCTGCTGGTGCATCTGCTCCTAGTATGAATTTAGCCTTTGCTGGCCTCCCCGTGGCTGTGCCTGTCTTAGGTTGCTCTCATCTTTCAGAGAGTCTTACCCGTCATTGGCTCACCATCCATCCACCTGGGGGACATAAAGGCAACTTACTCGCTTGCCTGTGAATTACGTTGCTAGTGCATCTGCTCCGAGTGCTGCTTGGTTCCTTCATGGGAGCAGACTGGCTTTTGCTATGACTTTAGCCTTTGCTGGCTTCTTGCAGCTGTTCCTGTCTTAGGTTTCTCTCATCTTTCAGAGAGTCTTACCCGTCATTGACTAACCAGCCATCCACCTCGGGGGCAGATTTTTGGCTTTTATCTTGGAGAGAAGCATGGGTAAGCTAGATAGGAGTTAAACCTAGAGTTCTTTCCTTTGCCTTTTGCTTTTGCCTCTGTAGGATTTATATATTACACCCTAGCACGTTATTTTACAATGGATATTTAAGGCTTAGCCTCTTTACTTCATCCTACACATCTGTGGTTTTTAAGCCACATGTACAGTGAGAAAGGGGAAAGATGAAAAAAGAAAATACTCTATAAAATACTTCTGTTAATTTAATAGCTTTCTGCCTTTTCGTGAGATAAGCTTTTTTTCTCTGGGTAATGGCTGATACCTACTTAGTGCCATTATATGTGGTGTTTTGTCATCACTGCCTCTACTGTCAACTGTATGTATACTCCTAAACAGGAGTGGCAATAAACAAGGGAATATGAGACAGCACCTAATATAAGTACTATGCTCCCTATGAGTGTTGAATTTGTCCAAAGGATGAGAACCATCAACCAAAAATAGAGTCTGAAGTTGAACCTTTTCCAGCTTCAGACTGGAACATGGGCATAACTTTCTCATATTGGCAGTGATTTCCACAACTACCTATCCATTGTTGTTAGCTTCTAAACAGCAGTTAAATTTACCACAGACTCTTCCTTCTGAGGCCAGCAGATCATCTAATGCTAGTTTCTTTTGCTAGACTGCATTTCTTACTTCAGTAGATTGTACAGCTATCAAATCTAAAGCTTTAGATGTTTCATTAGTTATAATTTCTAAGACTGCCTGTAATCTGATAATACAATTAATCATGTAGATGGCAGTATGATATCCCCACATCCCATCTTGTGCCCAAGAAGCCAAACTGTAACTATTCTCTCTGAAGGCCAATCTGTATCTCTCCAATCACCAATTTAACCTAAGCCTCAGCCTAGGTCAGAATATGAGATGTGAAAGTTTTGTATGTACACTTATCTGCATGTGCTCATACACACAGACACACACACGCGCATGTACATACAAATATAATGATAGAGAATAAGGAAGGCCGGGGAGAACAGACACACATGAGTAACATTATTTAGTCCACCAAACAAGGCCACTAGGATTTCATTTTTTGTGGCCAGGACTTTCAGGCACTAGGATGGGTTATCAAACTTAATCCTAACTTTTTTCTATTAGACTGAGCTTTCTTTTGACCATTTTAACGTCTGGAATCAAGATATATAAAGAGAATCTAGGCGAGCTGGGAGAAGAGACAGAAACAACTCTTTTTGGGAAGTGAGTAAGAGTTAGAGTGGGACCCATATTGAAAATATCTTGATTTTGGATCAATGAAATCTTCAAGCAGAAATTCTTGCATGCCTAGCTCTCTGTGGTGGGATGGGTCCAAGAGTCAAAATTTCTGATGAGTCTAAAAATAAGAGTAAATAAGCAGTGGAACTAAAAAGGGATATACAAATCAAAAAAATTGAAAGAGCTAGAGGAATAACTTAAAAAGATACTCAAAACCTAGCAGAAGACAAGAAATAACTAAGATCAGAGCAGAACTGAAGGAGATAGGGACACAAAAAATCCCTGCAAAAAAATCAATGAATCCAGGAGCTGGTTTTTCGAAAAGATCAACAAAATAGACCACTAGCCAGATTAATAAAAAAAGAAATCAAGACATGTGTGAACTGATGCAGATGGCTTTTCAGAGTCTCAGTGATGAAGGTGAGATGTAGGGGTAAAGGTGAGGAAAGATAGAATTCATTGTCATACTCATAAACAGTTATTACAAGGTCTCCCTGGACCTTGTCTTTAAGGTACTAACAGTTGGACTTTCTCCATATGTATTAACTTACTATCTGTCTATATATGTGTCTGCATTTTGGTTGCATTCCCTAAGAGTTTGCTTTTTTAGGGAAGGATCTACAGTATCTCTCATATCTCAAATGTGTATTCTGTTTGATACTCTTTCCTGACAATTGTGCATGTTAGAAAATACTTCATCCTTTTTTTGAGGGGAAAGAATCATATGAGCATATGTGGAAAATATCACAACGGAAAATGTAAAGTAAAAATTTCCAGGAGCACACTATTAATTTATTCCCCAAATAATACATATTTCCTCTGTCCTGGAGATAAGTCAGTGATCAAGAAAGGCAAGATTTCTGCACTCCTGGAGGTTATTTTCTTAAGCAGTCTCTGAGTATAATGAGGACCAACACTATAAATCTATAGTTATGAAATGATGTCTGTATGTAAAAATAACAACAATAATAGGCTTAGGATGTATTAAGTGCCGGCTGCTAGAGCTTGAATAATTACAAAGTGGAGGGAGAAATTATTTCAGGCAGCAGAGTTGTATGACTAAAGCATGACTACAAGAATGCAATGAGAAATGGACTGGTTTGCCTGAAGTCCAGAGGTTGCATATGGAAACAGTTGGGGACAACATTTGAGAGATAGATAAGAAACCACTGAAAACTTGTGAGCAGGGAAGTGACACGATAAAATTGATGATGACACAGTAAACATGGAATCTGTGGTACTATCCCCTTTATGGTTTTTTTTATTGCATCTATTTGATTATTCTCTCTTTTATTTTTTATTAATCTGGCTAGTGGTCTATTTTGTTGGTCTTTTTGACATTTTGTAGCCTGGCCCAGTAAAACAATACCCACACCTGCCTCCACATTTAGTCACCCAGTATTACTAAAAACCTGATTATTTCTTTCTTGGTAATCATGCTTGTACTTACTAAATCCTCTTCTTCCAACTCCTCAAAGAATGCTTTCATTGAATGAGTCTTTCTTCCACCTTTTACAGAAAGGACACATAAAAATCAACTCATTAAATAGAATTTCTGCCTCAGTCCTATAAAATAATAATTGAAGATAATGGTTATAGGTTGACTTAGTATCATTTCTACACATTAGATTTCTGCATGTCCTTTATGTCCTGTTTTTAAAAAGGGTTAATTTTGCTTAGAAAAAAATTTCATCTCTGTAGATTTGTATGTGGGCACTGGGCTGCCAAAAACAAACCTATCAAATAATGATTTCATTTGGAGCCCTTAATTTGAGAATCTTTAGAAACACACTTTTTCCCATATTATAATCAACTCATATCTGTTGCATATTATTTATCTCTTCTGCTTTCTTTGGTTAAATTCTGTTTTAACCTTCTGTGTTCTATCTTTCACAGTGTTCTGATTTCTAAACTACATCAAGTAGACAGAGTGTAATATTAAAAACAGGATGTCACGTTAGCCTCTTAAATTGACAAACAGAAAAGTGATTCTAATAACAGATTTATCATTGCAGCTATATTAAGAGATCAAGGTGAAGTTAAATACTCAAATGCAACATCAACCCCAAACTGCCTATTACAAAGATTATCTAGGCAAGAAAGATTATGTATGTTTCATGGCATCATGAAATTTACTCGAAGAAAAAAACTGAATTCAGAATAAATGTAGTCAGAAATGTCTTTAAAATATATCCATAAAATTTAACTTGTAACTAAATAATAGTACCTTCCATAACCTACTGAAAGAGATTGAAAATCTAACTCAGACCAGCATAATATATATTTTAATAACACATTTTAAAACAAGGAGTGTGTGTCAGCTTTATCTTAAATTCAGCAAGACAGAGATACAAAAGAAATTCATATAAATCTTGAAAAATCTAAAGAAATAAATCCAAGTCACAATTTAGTGCTAACAATGATACTTTTCTATAGTCAATGGCACCAGTGATATTTGTATTATCCTTTTCATCCAAAACTAAAATTGTTACGATCATCAGAACCTACCTATTTCTTCAATGAGTACACTTGTAGCTAGTTGAAAAAGAGGCCTCATACATTGCTTTATATAAAATATAATTCATTGATAAGAAAATGGTTTCTATAAACATAGCCACTTACATTTCTACCTTCATTTCCAACATTTTCAAAATATTTGCCACCCACTAGGCCTCCCAATTTTGTTTTTCAGTGTTGATTTTAAAACAGTTCAGTAGTTTTAAAGTAGGTGACCATTAAAAAGGAGAAAAGAAAAGCTAAAGATTGATAAAAGTTGTCTAAGATTGCCCTTGAGTCATGTTTAGATAGGACCAGAAGCAAGATTTAAGAGTTCAGAATTTCTGCCTTTTATCTGCATTCTACCTAGAAAACAATCTAGAAAAAGTGGGAGGCAGGTTTTCTGCTAAGCTTCAAATCACACATCTCTGAGGCAACAGTGACATGGGCTTGCTTGGAGTCAGAAAAATTTGTGGCCTGTAGAACTATCAAAGAAAAGTATTTTATTTTCAAATGAGAGGTTGAGTTTCCTTATCCAAAATGCTTGGGCCAAGAAGTGTTTTGGATTTCTGATTTTTTCAGATTTTGGAATATTTACAAATACAGGAGATATCTTGGGAATGGAACCCCAAACTAAACATAAAATTCAGTTATGTTTCATATATACCTTATACATATAGCCTGAAGTTAATTCTACAAATTATTTTAAGTAATTTTGCACATGAAACAAAGTTTGTGTTAAGTACTCACAAGTGGAATTTCCTACATGTGGTGTCATGTTCGTGCTCAGAAAGTTTCAGATTTCGGAGCACTATGGATATCAGATTTTCAGATTAGGAATCTTTAATAACAAAAACAATAATTTTATCTTTTTCTTTACATATGTTATAATATTCCTTATATTTCAGTTGCATTATCTTTATATTTATTGAGGTTGCTTATCATCACATAGTTTAAAGGATCCAATAGTATATAAAATTATATTACAAAGAAACAGTAGTCCTCTCCTCAAACTACATTTCACAAGTCTTATAGAAAAGCACTCTCAACAATGGTAGCCTTCTCTTAACCTCTGAGAAAAGATTTAAAAAAACACTTATCTGAAGAATGTAAAGTGCTCTTAATTACCAGGCCCAGAGAGACATTAAAATGAGAAAGCAATCATGCCCTACTCCCTTCTTGGAGATATGTAGTCCTTTCTTGAAACTGCCTGTACAGCCAATCATCAATCAATGTTATTTTTGTAAACTAATGAGAATTCCTGACAAATAACTTTGTAGCAATCCACACCCTGCCCCCTTTTAATGCCTTTAAAAATCCACTTGCATCTGCTTCTAATCAGTGTATATTCAGGACAATTTGAATCTATGCTCTTGGGATGCAATCCTCAAACTTGGCCCAAATAAAGTCTCTTATTTACATTAATTGTGCCTCAGCTTCTTCCTTTTAGGTCAACAACTTCATAAACCCAAATAGCTTTCATTTTGCTAATTCCATACTTTGTATTTTAATTTTGAACAATGTTTCTTGACATCCCACTAGAAAAGCTAAGAAGTTAGCTAAGGATGCAGTGTGATCTCGGTTCACTGCAACCTCCACTTCCTGGGTTCAAGTGATTCTTCTGCCTCATCCTCCCAAGTTGCTGGGACTAAAGGTGTATGCCACCATGCTCAGCTAGTTGTTGCATTTTTACTAGTGATGGGGTTTCACTGTGCTAACCAGGATGGTCTCGGTTTCCTAGCCTCATGATCTGCCCATCTCAGCCTACCAATGTGCTAGGATTAGAGGCCTGAGCAACCTCACACAGCCAATAAGCAATTATTATTATACCCAGGCTATCTGAAAATATATCAATTTTAGACACACTTAACAGCTTGACATAGCAATGAACTTTAGACTTATTTCCATTTTCTCCCCAAAGTTTGAAGGTATGACTATCTAACTTCCAGTACTGCTTTGAAAAATCTGAGCACATGACTATGTTTACCAATCCTTGTGAGTAATTTGATTTTTTTTTATTTTTTTTTTATTTTTTATTGGATTATAGGTTTTGGGGTACATGAGCAGAGCATGCAAGACAGTTGCGTAGGTACACACATGGCAGTGTGCTTTGCTTTTCTTCTCCCCTTCACCCACATTTGGCATTTCTCCCCAGGCTATCCCTCCCCACCTCCCCCTCCCACTGGCCCTCCCCTTTTCCCCCCAATAGACCCCAGTGTTTAGTACTCCCCTTTCTGTGTCCATGTGTTCTCATTTTTCATCACCCACCTATGAGTGAGAATATGCGGTGTTTCATTTTCTGTTCTTGTGTCAGTTTGCTGAGGATGATGTTTTCCAGATTCATCCATGTCCCTACAAACGACACGAACTCATCATTTCTGATTGCTGCATAATATTCCATGGTGTATATGTGCCACATTTTTCCAATCCAGTCTATTATCAATGGGCATTTGGGTTGATTCCAGGTCTTTGCTATTGTAAACAGTGCTGCAATGAACATTCGTGTACATGTGTCCTTATAGTAGAACGATTTTTTTTAGTTTTGCATCCTTCAAAAGATCTCTCTTTGTCGCTAAAATTCTGAAATGTCCTCATGATGTTCTTTGATGTGGATCTAATTTCAACCATTGACCTAGGTACTAAGTGAACTGTTTCAAACTGGAAACTTATGCCTTGGCACATTTTCCTGAGTTAATAATCTTATGTATATCCTCTCATTTTCCATTTTCTCTTTCTTAAACGCCTATTGTTTGAATAATAGGAGTTATCATCCTCTTTGATTTGACCTGAAGTTTTCTCATCTTATTTCCTAATTTCTTTCACTTAATCTTTTCACCCTGCTTCCCTAGAAAATTTCTAAACATTATATATTATAATCATTATATTTGTATATCAAAAACTGTTGAGCAATTCTTATCTATCAGGCACTGTACAATATTTCTTTCCCATAAAAGACAATTCATTGCAAATATCTACTATATTTGGTTTTGATTTTCTCAATCTTTCCATTAATTTGATTTTCATTTTTTCTTCTTTCATCTGTACCCACCTGCTAGGCCCACACTCATTCCCAGTTTTCTTCTACTAATACACTGAATAATTTATGACTCTGTTACTTCGGCACTACTTGTCCTCTCCTATTAGCCTCCTATTTCAACCTACTGTAGGTTTCCCATCAGGTAGTACCCCACTTCACTCTTTGGGACTTCTTTCCTAATTTTCACTGGGTCTGAATCAGAACTTCATCAGTAATTTTTCAACCCTCAACCTTCACTTTTCTTACGGTTAATTTCACACTGAAGTTCATTATTGAACTTTTATTAAACTTTTTTTTCATGAAGGTTTAATGAACTTCACTTTGAAGTTTATTTTTAAACATTTTTTTTGTATGGTTGCCATCAAGAGGCATGCTTTTCTTTGTTATTAACAAAAGGCATTAATTAGCAACCATTTAACTTATATGTTTTGAAGGAAATAAACAATGTTACACCATAATTTTTCTGACATTTGATAAATCAAGGAGACTTTTCAGAGCCCTTCCATTTCTTAACGTGATTCATAGCCTTGAGATTTCTGCTCTAGATTTCTACCAACTGGCTCATGGAGCTGATCATTTGAGAAACTGGCATCAAAATAACACATATCCTTCCAGATTCATGCAGGTTTTTCATTATGTAAATTTTTACAACTTCCTCTGCAGGAGCAAATTATCGCACACTAGATTTTGTTTTCTACCTATTCAAATATGTTTCCAATTATTCATTTATATTCATTCATTCACGTATTCCAATTATTCATTCAGTAGGGGTGTGTGTGTGTATGTGCGTGTGTGTGTGTGTGATGTTAAATGACTGAAAAGTAATGTATACAAAGTTTAGCCTTAAAATGTTGTTTTATATCTATTATACATCTGAAATGAGCTGTCAGCCTTAATTTTCCATGACTTTAGAAAACCTTCCACAGCTGTATTTTATTTACCCTTTTATTGATGGGTTTCTTATATGTTTTTTTCT